TTGGAAAGGCGGGCCAACCCTCTTCAGATCCCTTGATCCTTACAGCAGTTATAGTATCTTGGTTTTCAAATGAGGAAAGAGAGGCCCAGAGAGACAAGTCATTTTTTGGAATAGCGGGTGAGTCCCTGGCAGAGCCAGTGTGCAGGCCCAGCCCTTCAGCCTGCCCACCCTTCCTTCCCAGTGTGCAGGCCCAGCCCTTCACCTGCCCATTGGAGCTGACAGCCTGTTTGAGAAGGTGAACAAGATTTGGGGGCTTAAATGACACAGCCAAATGGTCTGTTTTAGGTCCTAAATGAGGAAAAGATAGTTGGCATTTAAGACCCAGCTCAGTTGGGCAGGAACCTGGAGTACCAGGTCTCCTGTCATGTTTTTGTACCCTGGGCAGCAAACTGATTCTGCCCCACATATTCTCTTATCCTTCCCACGATTTTGTCTATTTATTGGCCCCTCTTACTAATGTATCAGTATATCGATTCAAGCTAAATTGTAACTTAAATTTAGTAGCTTAAAATAATAAGCATTTATTATGTCACAGTCTCTGCAGACTGTGAATGCAGCGAGGCCTACCCGGGGCCTCCAGCACAGGTCCCTCACAGGGCTGCTGTCAAGGCTGAGGCTGAGGCTGAGGCTGAGGACTTGTGGGAAAGCTTGGCTTGGGTAGGATCTGCCGCCAGGCTTGTTGCATGGTTTTCAGCAGCTGACTGAGAGCTGGCTCCTTGCTGGCCTGTTGGCTGGAGGCCTCTCTTAGTTCCTTGCCGCATAAGCATCTCCCTAGGGCAGCTCATGACAGCTAACTTTCTTCAGAATAAGAGAAAAAGAGAAAGGCCCAGATAGAAACCTCAGGAGGGGCTCATTCTGATTGGAAGCCAGGGCTGTGGGAGCTGTCTACTCTTACTCTCTGGGTCCCTCTTCTGCCTGAGGATCATTTAGGAGCATATGAGTGAGGAACTAACCATCTTCTCACTTCCTCTTCTCTGGAAGCCCCAGGCCAGGCTTCTCTTCCAGGAAGAGAAATGAGCTGTCAGAAGGTGCAGCCTTTTAAACAGCTAGTCACTGAGTACAGGTAGTTGCCTAGTAAAATTTGTGTATCTGTTGCCATGAAGGTGGGCTTAAAGTGGTTTTTCTTATTTGTAGACTTGGTTTTCTTATTATATCCATTTTCTGAAAACAGGGTAGGACCTAAGAGAATCTGAGTTAGGATGGGGTTGAGCCGCACAGGGAGGGTGTGGATCAAGGGCAGGCTCATAGAGAGACCCTTAGCACAGAGTCCCGGGACCCTGGTGGAAATGCCACAGGGATTGAACAGTGCCCTTAGCTCCTGTTGAGCTGGACTCTGCTTTCAGAATCCCTCCTCTTCAGAATTGAAGAACTGGGGACGGGATAAAAGCCAAGCTCATCACCACATGTCTCCTTTTGATCTGTGGCAATAGAGAACAGATGACAAGAATGCACATTACCAAAGATCACTTTTTAAGAAAAGTCTGTGAGTATCTTTCTCCTGTTTCCAAGATTCATTGTTTTGATGGCAGGAGGCTCACAGGGAGGAGACGGGGAGGCAGTCTCATCACTGGGAGCAGTGATGCATGGTGGCTGCTCAGCTTTCTAACTGTGCTTATTTTCCAGTGCACAGGGCCACCAAATGACTGGCTTGATAAACATGTTGCGTCAGGTTTTTGTTTGTTCTTTTAGATCCCTGATTGTGAGGTGGCGATACCTTCCTAATGCATGATGGCCTTGAGTGGTTTGGGCTGTTCTGTGATCTGGGACCAATCACTATCGAAGATACAAGTGGACCAGGAAACAAGGACCCAACTAAATCTTGCAAGAGCATAAGAGGGTGGGGGCAGAAGTGATCTCGCAGCCTACATGCAGTGGGTCACCATCAGAGCTGCCTGGGAGCAGCGTGGGCCGAGTGCTTTGGTCTTTGCTCATAAACACCATCTCTTTTTTACTGAGGAAGCCAGTGCCTGGTAAGGGGTAGTAAGCTGTTTTTCTCCCTCTTGCCTGGCCCCAGGAGCCTCACGGTTATATCAACCCTCCTTTGGGTGGTGTGGGGCGGCACCAGCCTCACCCTGTCATAACACATTCTGACTCATGTCAAGAGGATGGCACCCCTTAGTCCCTCCCACGTGCCCAGCCTGGGCTTTATATCCGTTATTGCATTCAATACCACCTCTGTTTTCTAGACCGTGTGGCATGGCCACCAAGCTAGTGATAATGCAAAGACTTGAACCCAAGTCACATGACTCCAGAGTGGATGTCTTTCCCCAGGATCATGTTCTTCCAGATACTTCCAGGTTGAAGAGATCCCACCTGGGTACTCAGACAGTGGCCTGGAGGGATTCCTCCTCACAGAGCAAGTGTTGTTTTTATCAGGGATGGAAGTAGGCTCTGTGGCTGAGCCTTCCTGGACTTTGTCATTGTCATATCACTGTGCCACAGGAACTACTGGCCAGGCTGGCTTAGTTATTAAATTATGGGAGCAGTGATGCATGGTGGCTGCTCAGCTTTCTAACTGTGCTTATTTTCCAGTGCACAGGGCCACCAAATGACTGGCTTGATAAACATGGTACATCGGGTTTTTTCTTTGTTCTCTTCAATCTCTGATAGATGACCTAAATATTTGGGCCACTGAGGTGTGGGCAGCCAGGTAGGTGTCTGTTCAAAGAGCATGCATTGAGCCTCTCGTGTTCTGAGAGAGCTCACTTTCTGTGTTGGGCTCTGTATTTGCCTATAAATATGCAAAATATTTTTAATGCTAAAACCAGATATCGTAGGATGTAAAATTGCAGTGTGGAGGAATCATTTTAGTTGAGATCCCAGATGCGTAAATTGAGTCTCTTGGCAGCTAGATTGCACTTTCTAGAGCTCAGGAGGATATAAAGCTGACACCTTGATAGAAATCTATGTGAAGTGTGGCTGAATCGCAATTGCTTTTACAGCCATAGGTTTGAATTACCTGACTTTTCGTATTAAAAACAATGGTACCTTTACATAGATGTGGGCTTATTTGAAAGCAGGAAAAAGGAAAGTTCAGGAATGGAAAGAGGTTTTGGAACACAGTGAACAGCCCTGGTCTTTTTTTGTAGCCTCACCAAGAAATCTTACCAAGTTGGTGCCGTAGACACAGCTTGTAGACAGAAGTGGGCAATAGGGAGCCCCCGCCCCAGACACAGAACTCCCCCTTGGGGATGCAGACAGGGTTGGGTTTGAACATATGGGTATGGTGCTGGATTGTGTTTTTTTCTTTAATTTCTAGTTATAGATGAACACAATAATCTTTATTTTCTTTACTTATTTTTATATGGTGCTGAGGATCAAGCCCAGTGCCTCACATGTATGAAGCAAGCGTTCTGCCACTGAGCCACAACCCCAGCCCGGTGCTGGATTTTTATGGATGATCTTTTTCTTCTTTTTTTTCTGGTTAAATGGATGATCTTTAAACAGTTCAACAACTGTTTCATGGGAGGGATAAACTGTCGTATCAAGAGAAACCATATGCCTCTCTCACTTCAAAATAGAAAATTTATTACATGAATCTATTATGTGAAATTTTCCAAGTCAGACCACTACTTGGAGGCATATTAAATGATTTAAAATCTAGATGGTAAAATCAGCCGCTCATTCTCAGCGAACAGCATTATGCATGCATAATAGAGCTTCAGAATTGTATCCATCTGCATCTCCAGCCCTGACTGTCTGTCTCTGCTTGGTGTGTGACTCGGAGGAGGGCTGGTGGTGGCATCGTGTAGCATTTCCGTGTGCATTACAAGTCGTGCTCAAAGAAATAGGACCACATCTAATGGAGAGGCGTACTAAGTTAACTGACTCCATATTTCCACTTTGCCCAATGATACTTTATCCTTTGATCACTTTTTTATGAAATGCCCACCAGAGAGTTGCCTGGTTAATTCCCCTTTAATCTGCCTGTAGTTTCAGAATCAAATGGAAATAGTTTAAACCCTTAGATCAAGATTTCTCCACTGTGGCACTATTAACATTGCAGCTGGTTAATTTTTTTGTTCTGGAAATTGTCTTGTGCATTACAGTTTTTTTATAGCATCTCTGGTTTCTACCCACTACATGATGGATAGCACATGTATGTACACACACACGTGCACGCGAGCGCATGCACACACACACACAAAATTGTGACAAAGAAATGTTCCCTGGGAAGGACTGTGAACATCTCTGTGGGCACTAAAACCCCCAGTAAACTCTTGTCTATGGAACTGGGTTTGAATAAGTAGTTCCTAGTGAAAATATGAAGAGGGTCTCAATTTCTAGCCAGTTGGGTAAAATAAAATCTTTTAAGCAATTTAATTCAGAAGGATGTCTTCAAGATAAAGTGTTAGAAGTCTAGAAATAACTTTTTGTTTTGTTTTAATGAGCATTTAAGAGAAAGTTCCAGAAGGGCTGTATAACTCAGAAACTGTGTCTCTGAGCAGTGTCTATCCCTGACCATGTCCCCAGCCTTCCTAATTAGACAACAGCCTGATTCATATAATGTAATACCTGGAAAATAATGAATCTACAGGAGCCACCAGGCCCCAGTTACATGTAGAAACACAAAATTTGTTTTGAAATAAGGACTATGTATAAGTGGGGAAATATTCCTCTTGAATTTTGTGATTGTTTTCCAAATGAGCTTATATTCATGGTCCCCAATGTATGTTTATGCTGACAGAACTGTAATATCTTTTCCTACAGTATAATTCACCTTTTAATTGATGGGTGGGGTGGGGAAGGGATGTACAAAAGATTTAAAGTTGTTTGTCACCATTGAACATGACTTAGGAAAGGGAGGAGGCGTGTCCACAACATCTCTCCTTCATGAACAAATGGCTATGTCCCGTACTTTATGAATTAGAGGAAATACTATAGGCTGATAGCTATTTTTGCAATTTAATTGTTTTCAAAACCAAATAGCAAGGGTGAAGCATACATTGCAGGGGAATGCTTACAAAGGCCTTTACGTGATTTTTTTTCCACATTGACAGGAAATAACTACATGTTCGCCAGAGTACTACAAGTGGACTCAGTACCTGTTTATTAAACTCTATGAAGCTGGACTGGCTTATCAAAAGGAGGTAAGTTAAAGTTAGCTGCAGTTGGAAAATTTTACAATTGTTCTCCTTGTCCTTGAAATACATCATTTTTATGTAAGAAGAATAAACCTTGTTTGCACAGTAGCAGTGAAAATGGATACTACTTCAAGTTCATGGGATCAATTGCAGCAGACCCAGAAAGTGACTACTGCCTTGCCCAGTTTAGTGCCTCCAACACCGGGTCTGGATGTCTTTCACCCTTGACTTCCTAACACATGACACAGTGTCTGGTACTTGTGATGAGATCAAAGGGAGAGAGCATAGGAGGAAATGCAGGCTTCTTAGCTCTGTTTCCTCTCCTAGCTTTTGTGACCAGTTGGGCAACAGAATCTCCAGGAAACATGGTTTCCCATCTGTTCAATGGGAGTGCTAATTTTCTTGGGAAAATTAGAGGTACTCTTTATTTTATTTGCAGTGCTGGGATAGAACCCAGGGCCTCATGCATGCTGAGCAAGTGCTCTAACTCTGAGCTATAGCCCTAGCCCTAGAGGCACTATTTACTGAACAGCTGCCAGGCTGGAGGTGTAGCTGAGTGGTAAAGCACATGCTTAGCATGCATGAGGCCCTGGGTTCAATTGCCAGCACCACCTGCTAGACAGAAATCCCAGTACCTACACGGAAATGGACATGCATGTTATGGCAGGGAGCTCGATAAGTAGATAAAGCTTGGAATGGTGGGAAACAAGACAAGAGTATCATAGAGGCTTAGAACTGCACTCTCATGTGATTGATGGCCACTAGCTGCTTGTGGTTGTTAAATTTAAATTAACTAAAATTAAATAAAGTTAAAAAGCCAAGTTTTTAGACACACTAGCCAAATTCCAAGTGCTCAATGCCCTCATTGCTGGTTGGTAGTGTTGGGCAGTACAGATGTAGAACATTCCCATCCTCACAGACCATCCCATCAGACAGCACTGGTCTAGAAGGTTGAGAAGTAACAAGTAGGAAATCTACTCTGCCTTTATGCTTGGCACATTCTCCTTTGATCAGGGGGATCTGATGGCACTGAATCATGATTTCTTTCTGTGAGTCCCACTGCATTGCTTGTCTTACAGTGAATAATATGTACATAATTATTATGTGCTAAGATTTTAAATTTAATTTTTTGAGAGTGAAAGGAATAGGATTTATTTAAGTGAGAAGAAAAGAAACTGCTTACCAGGTGAGGGGGATCTGATAGCAGGTTTTCCCAGATTTAAAAATTTTTGGAATCAATATGGAGATAGACACAGAATTTCAAAATAAAACAAAAATGTCCTAAGCCTTGACAATATAAAAATAATTACAGAAATCTAAGGGAAAGGAGAGGGGTTAGGAATAGGAAAGACAGTAGAATGAATCGGACACATAACCTTCCTGATTGTATACTCATATATTCATATGCAACACATAACTGGTTATATCTTCATATGTGAATATACAACCAGTATAACTCCACATCATGTACAGCCACAAAATGGGAATTTATATTCCATGTATGTAGGATTGTCAAAATACACTCTACAGTCATGTATATCTAAAAAGAACAGAAAATAAATAAATAAATAAAACTTTCAAACTCCTTTAAAAAAAAAAATAACAAAAATCAAGAGGTAAAATGGGGAGAGAGAAGTAGAAGAAAGAATGATGACGGGAAAGACTAAACAATTCTATGAAGAGTGTGGACAGTTGTGTGTGACATCAATAAGATTATCTAGTGTTTCCTATCCTTAGTTGTCTGGGTGCCGCTTATTATTTATATGCATGGAATATGAAATGATGTGACATATTAATATAATAGCATCAACATTTCTCACAGGGAGCCCTATATGTATGTTTAATATTCCTGTACGAGACAGTTTATTTCTGTGTCTATTACATATACAAGTTGAATTTTGAATTTATTGCATATTTATTATAATTTCCCTTTTCAGGACACTTGCTTCTCTCTGTCTCTACACTCAGGGTTTGTGCATGCTACCTCAATTCTACAGCCCTCAAACCCCAATAGGAAACTGAACCTCATCACTGTTGGATTAGATCCAAAGCCAGCCACATTCAGGATCTTAGGAGCTGAGAAACTTTTCTAAAGATGTAAGAGGTTATGGGAGGATCCCATTACGCATGCACAGCCTTCTGGCTGGCTCCAGAACATCTCTCTTGTTTTCCAAATCAGTGTGACGGACGCTCCTTCCACCTCCCCCAATAGGGGTGCCCTGGGGAACATAACAGTTGCATTCGGCTCACCTGGTAATGGACAGTCTCCCCGTCCCAAGAGCCTTCACTTTATCACATCTGCATGTAGGTAATGTGTTTATAGGTTCTAGGGATTAGGACGTGGACATCCTTGGGAGGTTGTTATTCTGCTCACCACAGCACTTTCTCCCTATTTCGTAGAGTTGTTATTGAGGACTAAACAAGTGAATGCTCTTGAAGAACCCAGAATGGTGCCTGGAACAGACTAGGTACTCAGGAAATGCCCCACCTGAGCATACCGTTGGAGTTATGATATAGAGTGCTTATGGTGTTTAAATTGGAAAAAACAGGAAACAAACAAACCAACCTAAGGTTACCTGGCTAATTCTGAGGCAGGTAATACCTTATATTCATGGTAAGGTATTAGGAAAGAATAATTTAGATTATTTTATTTTTATTTTTTTTAACTTAAACCATTTATTTATTCTGATTTGTTATACATGATGGCAGAATAAAATTCCATTTTTTTTTAAAAATGATGTTTTTGTTATCAATTGCTGATTTAAATTGGTTTTGGAGCATTGATTTTTTTTTTTTTTTTTTTTTTTTTTTAGTCATAGATGAACACAGTATCTTTATTTTATTTATTTATTTTTTGTATGTGGTGCCGAGGATCGAACCCAGTGCTTCACATATGTGAGGCAAGTGCTCTACCACTGAGCCACAGCCCCGGCCCCTGGAGTGCTGATTTTTTAAATTTATTTTTAAATTTTAATTTGTTATATATGGCAGTAGAATGCATTATAATTCATACTACACATACAGAGCACAATGTTTCATATCTCTGTTTGAACACAAAGTACAGTCACACCATTTGTGTCTTCGTACATGTACTTAGGGTAATGATGTCCATCTCATTCCACTGTCTTTCCTGCCCCCACTCCCCCTCCCTTCCCCTCTTTCCCTTCCCTTCCCTCCCCTTTGCTGTATCTAGAGTACATCTAATCCTCCCATGCCCCACTTAACCCCATTATGAATTAGCATCCTTAAATCAGAGAACACATTCGACATTTGGCTTTTTGGGATTGGCCAACTTCACTTAACATTATATTCTCCAACTTCATCCATTTATCTGCAAATGCCATGATTTTATTCTCTTTTAATGCTGAGTAATATTCCGTTGTATATATATATATACCACATTTTCTTTATCCATTCATGTAGGTTGGTTCCACAGTTTAGCTATTGTGAGTTGTGCTGCTATAAATGGAGCACTGATTTTTTAAGTCACCATTAATGTATCATGATCTTAAGGGAAAAAAATAATAAATAGAATGTAAAAAATGTACCTTTGGTGCATTGTTCAAAGATCAGTCCTGATTCAAGATATTTTTATCAGATAGATCCCCTTTTATTGGATAACTATCTTCAAATTGACTTTAAAACATAAAACATTGTGCTGGGGTTGTGGCTCAGTGGTAGAGTGCTTGCCTAGCACATGTGAGGCACTGGGTTTGATTCTCAGCACCACATATAAATAAATGAATAAGATAAAGGTCATCAACATCTTAAAAAAAAGTATTAAAGAAAAAAACATAAAACATTGCCATGGGCATTCTCAGTTTGTGGTTTATTCCTAACTATAAACTTTTGAAATTAATTTTAGAAAGTTAATTGATTTTAGAAGGTACCTGATATACTTTATAAAGTATACCATCTATCAGGTAATGATGTTATATATATATCATATTCAACCAAAAGTAAATCAAATATTAGTACTTTTCCTGTAACAACATTGTCATAACTTTTTATTTAATAAAAGATAGCTTCAGCCTTTAAATTTGCTTCTCACATAGCATTTAGGGTAGGGATTAGATCAGCATTACTGAATGTACTGGGAGGCAGTAAGTGTTTTGTTCCAAATCGGCATTGTTCATGGAATACTCAGTTCTACTGCAAAAGGAATCTTGTTCTCACAAAACAAAAACATTTTCAGTAATAGATATGAATGTAAAGATCTCCTTACTTGATGCAACATTAATTGCACCTCTGGTTTTAAAAAAAAATGGTTTTATTCTGTGGATATTGTTGTTAGACAAAGAAGGATGCTTGCATGTTATGTGTGGACATCCTAGGAGATTGTAGAGAATCCCTTGATGGGAGTTTGTGTTTGACTGTCTCTGTGTTTTCAGTGGCAGCTGACTAGTGCTAACTCACCCCCCTAAGCTAGGTCTGCAGCATGGCTCCAGCTTCAGGAAGTGCCCTGAAAGATCACTATGCAAACACATCCTCTTCCACTGTACACCTGTGACTTAAGGAGGTGGTGACAGTAACAGATGAATGGTAACCTTGGGGACCTCGCCTGAATTCAATCCAAATTCAGGCCCATTTTGGATGGAGTGGAGTGGGATGGATTTTGAGAGCAAGGTCCTTGAATGAGTTCAACATGATGTTACTTAGTGAAGCATGCTTTTATCAAGAGGAAGCAAGTTGATCTAAATCTATTTGCTAGAATATATACTTTACCAGACTTCTGGAACCTGAAACTGTTTGACAGTAGATTCAGAAAAGATCTCAGGTAGGGAAAAAGCAGAGTTTGAGGAAAAAGAAGCGAGGAGAACAGTGATGAGTAGCCAAGGGCCTGGGAGTGATGTGTTCATTGCCAGGGACCAAAGCATGCTGATGTTTATGTGTGCTGGGAGGCACTGGCACCTTGTGCGAAGGCTTAGGTCCAGGGAGGCCAGGACCCTCAGCAAGATGAGAGACAGCAAGGGTTGGAACAGGACATCTGACAGTGGCCACAGGTACCACAGTTACTGTATAGTGAAATAAGGATGATGCCCAGATAGTTCCCAAGGGAGTCCAAGGAGTCCCCAGCAGCAGAGGACAGAGGGAAGAGACAAAAGTGATGGGACGGAGCTGGCACATGCCTGTAATCTCAGCAATTTAGGAAGCTGAGGCAGGAAGATTACAAGTTCAAGGCCAACCTGAGCAACTTAGCAAGGCCCTGTCTCAATATAAAAGAAAAGGGGCTGGGGGTGAGGGGTGACTCAGTGGTTGAGCACTTGCCTAGCATGTGCAAGGCCCTAGTTCCATCCTGAAGACCACAAAAGAAGTTTTTAAATAATGGATGTGGGACATCACTGCAAATTTGAACTCTTGTGAACATGGCTTCTTCACATTTGCAATGGTGTGCATTTCTGAAATGCTTTCAAAAAGCTTCTTCTAACATATTAATCTAGTGTTCAGTCCTTGATTAACTAGGAAATTTTCTTATTTGGAATGACTCTTTCTGTGACATTGCTGGGTAACTGTTAAGAGGGAGGCAGTGGGTAAACCTACTCAGAGTTCAGTGTGGTTTCTTTTTGGTTTTGTTATTTTTTTTTTCAGTATGCTTTCAGGTGTTTTAACGATGTCCATCTTGAAGAAGATTGATTTCAAAATACAGATATAAAAACAGTATTTTACAAATAAGACTAGTTATCAACCACGGAATATAGAATTGGCTCCAGTAGGTGACAGACAACATAGATGTCAACCAGGGAAACATGTCATTAGTAAAATTGTATACAAATTAGATCCTATTTGCCAAGACTGTACTTGCTTAAAAATCAGGGTGTGCATCACAGTAAATATTCAAAACTGAAACTCTAGGCAAAGGGAAGTCCTGGTTTCAAGGGAAACAGTCGGAGGAGAGGAGACCTGGGGAAAGGGATTTGGGAAATGACTTCTGGGCTTCTCAGGCTGCACCCACTGTGCTTCCTGGACCCTGGGGGCCCTGGATTTTGACCAGCCCTACTGCCTCTGCAGCTGTGAGTTGAGGTGGACCGAAGCCTGTGGCTTCCTGTAGCCTCCAGCCTCTGCATCTTTCATCTGAGACTGTTTTCTGTGGCGTTTTACCTCCTCCCTGGAGTCTTTTATTGGGGAAAAAACATTGCTTTTGTGTCATGCTTTGATTTGTCTTTCATCAACACCCAGGGTTTATCATAATGTGTAAACCTCTTAGGAGCCCCTCTTCCTCCTTGCGCTTAGTTACCTACAGCCTGAGAGATGCCAGACCGTGTGGGAAATGTCCATAAGGAAATAAAGTCCTATTTGTTTTTGCAAATCTGCAGTACCAAGCATTTGCTTCTCCTGTATCCTCTGAGGTTTGCAGAGAGCAGGAGGCAGAGGTGGAGGTAAATAGTGCTTTCCCCCCTCTTTTATATATTATACAATTTTAGCTGTGTGTGGGTTTGGTATTTTTTGTGTGTTTGAGTGGAGGTTTGTTCCTTGAATAACTTAAGTTAATACTTGCCCCTCCCAATGCTTTTTGGGTTTTTTTTTTTTAATGGTGCTGGGGCTTGAACTCAGCGCCTCATGCATGCTAGGCAAGCTGGTGAGCTACATTCTCAACCTTGGGCCTTTCTTTTCTACCTAAGTAGAACCTTTTTCTCCAACTCCTTGATATAGGCAGTGATAGACAAAGAAGTCATCTTTGGTTTATTAACCTAGAATTTTTAGGTCTAAGGTACTTTGTCCTATGTTTTATCTCTGTTTATTTATCAATTCAAGGCTTAGGGGGGCTGTATTGAAGGAAATAAATTATTCAATGCATGTCTTTCCTACCCCAACTCTAGACTTCACAACCTTAAATTTTTCAGTGGATGCACTACTTTCAGTTGTAAAATCACGCCCTGTAAATCACAACCCAGAGATAGGTTAGACTCCCTAGATTTTCTGTAATTGTTGGTTAGCTATGACTCTGAATCAGCCAGTTCCCAGCAGGAAATAGAGGGTGCACCCAAAAGGAGTCATTGAAGAAAATGTAATAAAGGGACTATTTGTACCAACTTCAGGGAGATTCAGAGATGCTGGAAAACAACTGTCAGCAGCAACAGAAGGAAGTCTGTACCACCCACTGCTAGGCTCAGGGACAGTGTCAGGGAACAGTTACAGGAACCTGGCAGAGCAGGAGAGGCAGCAGCAGGAAAGGCCTGCCCAAAGGGGCTGTGGCCTTTGGTAGCAGGAAGCAGCCACTGCTAGCCCACAGCCCCACCAGGAAGAAGCCAGGGCACCTTTCATGGGTCAAACCCAGACAGAGGGAAGTATCTAAGTTAACCTGTGTTAACTGGTCAAAGAACAGGATGGAAAGAGGGCCTGGAGGGGCAGATGGATAAGAGTTAGCACCTTCTCTTATTAGAATGACTTTTCTTTCCCCCCTTGTAGTACTAGAAATTGAACCCCTGGGTGCTCTACCACTAAGACCACTGAGCTACATCCTCAGCTTTTTTATTTTTTATTTTGAGACAGGGTCTTGCTAAGTTAGTGAGGTTGGCCTCCCTTGCAATCCTTCTGCCTCAACCTCCCAATTTACTGGTATTAGAGGTATGCACCACCATGCCCCCACAGAATTATTTATTTAAAAAATAAATTTATGGGAGGATGGTGCTGAGGATTGAACCCAAGGCTTTGTGCACACCAAGCACATGGTATATCAAAAAAAAAAAAAAAAAAAAAAAAAAACATTTAAAACAACTTGTATCAGGTCAGGGTAACTGAATGCCCAACCACATCTTTCAGTGCTCATCACCTTCTTGGACCCAGTGACACCTGAATGTCATAAAGCAATGGATATAGATGACAGAGGTATTTATTTTAAATAGAGATAGAAACAAACTAGAACTCTGTGAGGGAATTTTCATAACATTTAAGATTGCATATTCTATTGGCCAAATGGAGCCAAAATTCCAGAGTAGTTACCTTGTGGGGGACAGATGTTGATTGATAGAAAGCCTAAGAGTTTCCTGTGGTTTGAGTGAGGGTTATGAGTGTCAACCTGTGCAAAAATTCTTCAGTTATACACGTAAGAATTTTTCATTTTATGTATGTTACACCTCAATTTAAATAAACATAAAAAATTTAAATTTAAAAAATTACTAAAATAGTTTAGTTTCTAGAGACCTGAGTTTTGCCCCTCTCTGTCACTCGCTGAGTGGGTTGGGTAAGTTAACTTCTCTAGTCCTCAAAGTCCTTATCTGCAATATGAGGGTAAGAATATACTTATCTCAGAGGGTGGTTGTGAGAATTAAAGACCCATAGTCACCCACTCAGCACAGCAACTGGTACATGGTAATCTCTCAGTCAAAATTAACAATTTTATTAAAATTAATACAGCTATTTCCTCTACAATAATCCCAGTTTGCTAAATGCAAAGTAGGTTCCATTTTTTTTCTTTTTTCTCTGTTTACTAAAATTTCTAAACCCTTCTAATTCATTCTTTCTTTCAATAAGATACAACAGGTCTGAAGGCACAGCTTACTGGTAGAGTGCTTGCTTAGTATTCTTAAGGCCTAACCTCCATCCCTATCCCTGCAAAATAGTAATAATGATAATGATGATGGAAGAAGAAGACATCAAAGTTGAGTTAGACACATGCTTAAAGGTTTCCTTCCCAGCCCTTTCTAATGAGAAGTAAGAACAGAGGCAGTCCACCTCTTCTTTTGACAGCTTGCTAGTGGTTTCCTGGCCAAGCAGGCCTTCTGGGAGATGCCTTTAGGCCTCAGAGCAAAGCTGCTACATTCACAGGTTTCTTTACGTGTTAGAAAACACCTTGAAATGATCCTAGTAACAGCTGTCACCAGAGTACATCATTTTGTCTCCTGAATTTTCCAGGCCTTGGTTAACTGGGACCCCGTGGATGAGACAGTGCTTGCCAACGAGCAGGTGGATGAACATGGCTGTTCATGGCGCTCTGGAGCAAAGGTGGAACAGAAGTACCTCAAACAGTGGTTTATTAAAACAACTGCTTATGCAAAGGTGAGTGTCCTTGGTCCTGCCTGGTGAGTTGGCAGTTACATCAAGGTCTTCTGAGTGTTGGGAAGCCCACGGGGAGGATGCTGTAAGAGGGGCCACCAGAGCTGTGGTAGACAGATGGGAAGCAGACAAACCTCAGCTTCGCCCACTCAAAGGGTGATGGGTTTGGGTCACAATTTTAAAGTTAAGAATGGCACACTGTTGTGCATTATTTGCTGATCTTGAACTCACTGCCACAGAGGTTAAAAAAAAAATCTGTTAATTACATCAGCAATTATATATAAAAGATGAATTGTATATTTTAAAAAGTGAAAAGTGTCTTTCTCTGTCTGGTTCTGATAAGACCTACAGAAGGAGAGAATGATATTTCAGAGGGTCCAGCAAAGATCCTCTGGAAGGACTGAAGACATGGCTGTCTCCCTTTGAGAAGCCAGAGTGAGGAGGAAGAAACTGAAGACCAAAGTTCTGGTGCCAACTCCTCCTATGTCCCTGGTTGACAGTGTAAACTGGCCCTTGGCCTTGGTTTTCTCATCAGTAAAATAAGGGTTTGGGGCCAGCTGGCTTTGAAGGTGCCTTCTGGCTTTTTCTATGTTCATAGATTCAAGGCAGAGCCAACAATTGTAAGCAGGGACTTGGTTATTAAATCACAATCACCTGAGCAAAATGATCAGTTCCATATGTACTGGAATCACTCTGGGAGCATCCTGTGAGCTCACGCAGATCCCAAGGTAGTCACCACAGCAGCCCATGTTTGCTCTGCCAGAGACAGGGTGTTAGTCTGAAGTGGACTTTAGGTCAGATCCAATACTGCAGTCTCATGAGCAAGGAAAGCACAAATCTCTGAATAACCTCTGATCACTGCAAAACTGCTCAATTAAATCTGCAGTCCACCTCCTCACAATACCCTTGCCATATGGAAGTGTGACCTCCAGTTTTCACACTCAAAGACACATCTTAAATGAGGCTCTTTTTTCCATTATAATTTATTCAGAATGCAGCAGAGACTAGCATATGGACCCAGGAAAGTGCTCATTAGAACTTGTTAGCACAGTGCCCTGCTCCTTTTGAGCACAGTAATATTGGAGACTGAATGAGAAGAACAAAGCTGGGATGTTGCTTTCTGTATCATCCCAGGCAGTGCGCGCCCCTGTCTGCTGGCAGTTGGGGTCTGCTGCATTACTGAGAGGATGCCAGGTCATCTCCTGGACCTGTCAGATGATTTTGTAATAGGCATTATTGGAAAGGCCACCTGATTAGCTCTTTTGTTTTGACCTCTGCCTCTAGTTGGAAATGTAATAACCTAACTGAGAGGCATTATTCTTTAAATTGTCAGCTGTGAATTTTCAGCTGTTCAGCAGAAATGGTTAGTTTCCATGGTGACTTGCCTGGTTCTTACTGAACTCCTGTGCAGATTTATTGAAAAAGCTGTCTTTGGAGGTCAGTGCTGAAAATCAGGAGAAGAGTGAGCACAGGGCTCCAAAAGGCCTAACAGAAAACAATTGCTATGGGGCTGAGAGCAGAACAGAGACACCAGAGGGCTGCACAGTACTGGAACACCATGGAGTGATGGCCTAGCCAGTGATATAATTGAGACCCCACAAAGGTCATGTATTAGAAATATAAATGACACCTTAACACTGAAGACAAAATCAAAACAGACTTGCCTTAATAAAAAATAAAAGCAAAGCTGAGAGGTTCAAAAGAAATTTCTGTAACAAAAATCAAATCTTTAAAGGGGGACAACATAATTCAGACTGCCTACAAGGTTTCATATGCAATGTCCAACATGTAACAAAAAATTACTAGACTTGCTGAGAAGCAATAAATATTGATCCCATAATCAAGGAAAAAACTTAGCCCAATAGAAATAGACCCTGAGATAACCCAGATATTGGAATTAGAAGATTAAGCCAAAAGCATCTGTTATATAAATGGCCTGAGACTTAAAGGATAAGATGGTCTTAATGAGCGGGAAGATGGGGACTCTCAGAAGAGAGTGGAAACTATTTTTAAAAATGAACCAATTGGAAATCTAGAGCAGAAAAGCACAGTATCTGAAATAAACAATTCACTGTTGGGGCTGCAGAGGGATAAGTAAGAACTAAGTAGACCATAAAGCTGGAGGAGCACCCCCCCCCCATATAGGAAAAAGCATGTGTGGTGTCTCTAAAACAGAAATAGAGGAGATGGCTTTGAGAAGTTGAAAGGGCTCTACAGCTTCCAGAGAGCCAGGTGGGGAGAGGTGCAGAGGGGTCAGATCAGGCCTTTTCAGTCTTGAGGAGTTTGGAATTTACCATGGGGAGTGTATGTAATCATTAAAAGAGTCTGAGGAAGAGTAGGACATGGTTAGACTTATGTTTTTGTATGATCACTGTGGAAAGTGCAAGGTGCAGAGAGAGCAATTAGAGTGCTGTTATAATGGTCCGGGCATGCACAACTTAGACTCAGGTAGGAGCCCTAGAGAAAAGTGAGCAGCTTAGGAAAATATTCAGGAGGCAGAATCCATGGAATTTGGTGATATGGTAGATGATAGGTCAGAAATGGCAGCCATCAAAGAAGACCCTGGCTTGAACAGTTGGTGGATGGTTAATGCTACTCACTGGAGGTAGGGACTCCTGGAAAAGGCATCACCTTACCCTTTTAAGATGACTGTCAGACATTTGAGAAGAGATGTAAAATTAATAGGTCCTTGGAGGGCTGGAGATGTGGCTCAAGCGGTAGCGCGCTCGCCTGGCATGCGTGTGGCCCGGGTTCGATCCTCAGCACCACATACAGACAAAGATGTTGTGTCTGCCGAAAAAACTAAAAAATAAATAAAAAAAAATTAAAAAAAAATAGGTCCTTGGAAAATTAAATAGGTCCAAATTTAATAAAATTAATAGGTCCAAAATTTCAAAAAAAAAATCAAATGAGGGAGGACATCTGCTCTACCACATAGTATATGGATTGAAGGTGTAACTCAGTGGTAGAGCTCTTGCCTACCATTCACAAGGCTCTGAGTTCTATCCCAAGCAGGACAACAAAATTAAAATTAAATAAGTAAATAAATGAAATGAAACAGCTTAGAATTAACAAAGAGGTGCTACTGCATAAACAAGGATGAGATGTTGAATTGGTTGCAGTACTTTTGGCTGCAAGTAACTGAAAACCCAAGTCATGATGGCTTACATGGGTAAGTTGCTTTTTGCACTTAGCAAGCGTCAGTTGCTGGGACTGAGCTAGGATAGGGCTTTGACTTTCATCTCAGTGCTTCTCTTGTCCTTTTCCTTCCTGCTTGTGATCTTATGGTTGCATGGTTCTAGATGTCACATCTCCATTCAAAACAGAAGGAGAAAAGGAGCAATGCAAGTGAATTCTTCTTGTCTGGAAAGAAAGAACTTTTGCCAAAACTCCCAACTGATGATCCATTAGCCCCAATTGTGTCATATGGCTGCCCTCAGCTTCAAAGGAGAATAGGAAAGTAGGCTTGTTTTTTTTTTAGCTTCTGTGGTTGAGGTGAAGGGGTAGGGGAATGATGGGCAGTGGGTGCTGGGATAGCCAGGGAATTGTGCCCACCACAGTTGTATCTGCACCTGGTTTTCGAGCTCTGAGGGCTGCCTCTGTGATGTATGGCTTGTGATCGTCTTGGTAGCACAGCTGTGTTGAGGAGCCCGCCTTCCCTTCCCTTACAGAGAAGTCTGAAATTAATAAAAATGCTTTATTAGGGCTGCTCTGAGATACATATGTGATTTTTCTCCTCTTACCCCCTCCCACTCTCCTGGATTGTTTGCTCTGTGAGAATGAACGTGATTTTGGCCTCCCATTCTGTGCAAAAGCAGCTTGCAGTAGGAGGCTCCGGAGCAGGTGAATTAATCTTGGCAGAGCTGTGTGGGCGGCAGCTGGTGGGCGGCAGCACTGAGGTTTGTCAGGGGAGGGTGGATCGGAGCCTTCCATCCAGAGGGGAAAAGGGATTCCTACAGCAAGGTGACAAATGGCCAGAGAGACTGAGAGGGCTGTCATTTGAACTCCATAAGAACCTGGGGTTTGGTTTCCACTGGTGCCTCCTCTGCCCTCTGCTGGCTACACCACAGGCCTGCACCCTGGGCACCATGAAGAAGGACACAGCCAAACCTGGTGCCAGCTTAGTCTCCACCCCAAATTGGTAGTTATGTTTTCCAAATTTTCAGGAATTACTTGGAAACTGTGGTAACATGGATGAAGTCTGTGTTCACCTTTCATTCCTTCACTGGTCACCCTCTCTGAGCTCAGGTCTTTATTGACACCGTCTTACTTGAACCTGTACAGTCATGCTTAGAGGGTTTGTCCTGCTGTTAATTACAGCTCTGGGATTCAAATCAGAGTGACCAGCCTCTTCCCTGGTGATCTCTACTGTCTCTATGCATTTAGAAACTCATGGTGTTGCTACATAACAGAGATGATAGAGGCCATTAGCGATCCTTTCCCTAAGTGCAGGCCTTCCTACCCACCTCTGGAATGTCCCCTCAAAGCCCATCCCATCTGCTGAGGTTGCTATTAGATCCGCTCTCTCAGACTCTTTTGTTTCCCTTTCTGTCCTTGCTTTCAGTCCACACCTCACTTTCTCCCTGTCAGGGAAGTAAAGAAAGGCAGCTGTGTGCGTTGCACCCTCTCTGGAGCCTTCAGGAAGGAGAGAGAACTTCTACAGGGAGCTCAGTCTCCAGAGCAGCACATACTCTGTGAACAGGAAGGTTCTCTCATTTTGTTTTGTTTCCAAAAGGGAAGGAATAACTGCAAAGGGAAAAATGGAACAGGTAAATCAATGGTTTACTTCTCAGGGTATACTGTCAATAAAATAAATAGTAAAGTTATATAGAACTTAACATTAGGACTTGCTTTAAACCCTAAGTAGCCTTTCTGAGCTGTTAGCCAGGTCCTTTGATGCATGGAGACCTCCTTCCTTCCTGAGGTGTAGCTTGTTTCCAGGGGAACAAAGAGATGGATTTACCACCTCAAACTCTGAGGGATCTCGCAGTTTCCAGGGAGGG